CCAAAGTATCCAAACTGATGTCTGTGTTATTATAATCTCTATATGTGTGTAGGTAACATTTTGCTGATTTGTGATCTTATCATTGGAGTGTACTACTGACTTATGTTTAATTATGTTATATGTCCTTCAATACTACATTCAAATTGTATATAAGACTATAAACATGTAAAGTAAAGCTGTGTTACTTGAAATTAATTTTAAAGTCAGTATATGTTTGATCATTTTCAACTGAATTTTATTTAAAGATATAAAATTACAGTTAATGAATGTAGTGTCCATAGTGAGAATCAGGTATTAATGGGTGATAAAGAATAACACTAATCAGCGCTCATTACCACATACATAAAATCATAGTTTTTATTTCAACATTTTATATATTTATATAATTATGATCATTTACTTTGTTTCCTTGTTTCACAATGAGGATAATTTAGGATGATCTCCAACTACTTCCCTAAAGATAAGCAGTAGTGGTAGTACTAGATAAGAGATTGTTCCTGCTGAGCTCTCTCAGTCTTTGTTGGTGACCAGTGGGTGAGATACCGGCTGCAGTTTTATCACTTCATATGAAAGTATTTATTCTGTTGGGAAATTGTATTCTGTTTCTGTAAGTCTCCAAGATTGGGACTGACAAAGACACTATTGTTGTGACATTCTTTGTTTCATGGAACTTATTAAAATAAGAATAACTATGTCTGCCAGTTTTAAGTTGTTCATTATCATTTTGTCAGCAGTCAAAATACTCTCATTTTATGAGAAGGAAATAGCATAGAATGGTTCTAATTATTACTGTTATTACTGTTCCATTGTTGATTTTGTTAGTGATCATTTTTTGGCACTTGTTGCTACTGTTAGCAATGAAGCTTCAGAGTCTCAAGTGATCACCAGCTCTTACACTCTAGGTATACTTAATCCAATAGTCTATATTTGTTTCCTGTGTTCATTCACATTATAATTCACCACTATGCTTTGCATTTTGATAGTATAGCTTATCATTTATATTACTTGCATTCATATTATTTATTATTTTTATATTATTTATATATATAACTTATATCCATACAGACAACACAATGTGGAGGACCGCCTTAGCAGTGGGAGTAACAAGTGCCTTGTGGGCTGCAGGGAAGCAAGGCCTCAAGGTCTTTGATATTTTGATACCATCACTAAATGGATTACAGCTTGCCTCAGTTGCTGCTGGCGTCTACATTACTGCGGGAGGTTACTACACACTTTGGATTGCTTATAATACATTACCTAGGGATATTACGTAAGTTAGCTCTGGATTTTTCCCATTGATGTTCGTAGAACATAATTTTGTGGTTATATATTCACAGTGCTTATATCATACTTTTAAAAAAAGACTTTGTTTTAACAGAAAAGAAATAAAGGAAGTTGATATGATGATCCAAAATTAAATATATCTCTTTCAGGGCATTATGGAGGTATATACAGTGTCACATAAAATTGAAAACTGCATCCTTTAGGAATATCAGCATCCCAAAGATGTTCATGGAAAACGTTAGAAAAAATCCCAATAAAGTAGCACTCATCTTTGAAGATCAAAAGTGGACATTTGCTCAGGTAATACTTCATCAGTGTAATTATTTAAATATAAATAACATATTGCACACTTCCATTCTGTAACAGTTGATTTAGATCTCATTATAATTCCTTTAATTATCAAATGATTATTATCATAGGTCATTACCACCCAACAGGTGTATATTCACCTCACTAAAAAGATGAGGATGTTTATTTTTTTATGAAAAACTTTTGTGCTGCAAAATGAGGATAGTTATTCCTCTTCAGGCTGTAACTATTTCTGGATTTAAGATCAAAGAAACATACCACCTGAATAAGATTCTCAAAACTATTCCATGCTATACTGCCATTTTCCACATAGAATAGTTTTGGAACAACACACCGACTAAATGTCAATCACTAAATTCAATTTAATATTCAAATTATGAATAAAAATGAGGTGAGGATAGATATATTTTTGCCATTTTTTATTACCTCTTGCTGCTAACCTTATTGTGGGAATTCAGGGTTATCAAGGAAACAGCAATTAAGCTATGGTCTCCATTGCTTTTATCTTGTAGGGACTTCGATAGGCCCGGAAAAAAATTTGTTCATCCAGTGATTACCAGTTAACGTTTTTTGTGTCTCATTTTTTGCACGTCTGTAGATTGATGAGTACAGCAACCGTGTGGGTAACTTCATGATCAAGCAAGGTTTCAAACATGGGGATGTTGTTGCACTTTACATGTGGAACCGGCCGGAATATGTGTGCACATGGCTTGGTTGTGCGAAGGTGAGATGAGAATAGTTTTGCATCTTTGTTTTATCATATTTTCTTGTCAAATTGTTATTTAATCATTTTCTATACATTGATTGTGTGAAAATGATGATTGTGATATTAATAATGCCAGTAATTTTGAGGAAGTTGTCATCTGATTATTTATTTTTATTTGTTTATATTTTTTTTTTGTCAGTTTAATATGTAATGAAAATATGAATTTCAACATTTACTTTCAGGTGGGCGTGGTTCCAGCTCTGATTAACTTCAACCTGCTGAACGATTCACTCATCCACTCCATCAAGGTGGCAGAATCGAAAGCACTTATATGTGGATGGGAAATGCAAGATGGTACAAAGAACATTCTTGAATAACTTAATTTTTTTTCCTCTGACCATTTTTTGAGAATAGCCAGTGTTTTAAGAATTGTCACATTTGAATTATATCAATTTGCATTATGATATTTAGCTTTTATGCCAATGCAGCCAGGGAAAATTAACTAAAAATGGGGAAAATGCTGTGCCTATTTTCTATATTTTTTTGTGAAATGTCTGTACATAGATGGCTCTGCTAGTGCTTAGCCACAAAGGAGTCAATTAGTAAAATTTATGATTTGAGTTAGCAGGAAAAACATATTTTTTACTAGGCTATGAATATCGATGGTGTTATTTTTTGTATAGACATTGTAATTATTACAATGTTTTTTAACATTACTAACAGCAAAATAAGATAACGTAAAATATTTTGTAAATCAAAGAAAAGGGTAAATGGGCAAGAGAGGCAGTACTCGTAACTGGCTCATTGGTGACTTAGTACAAGTGTAGCCATCTATGTGTTAAAACAATCAAACAAGTACTTACAGTGGGCATAGCACGTACATACATGTCATACCTGTCAGCATTGAGTTAATAAGAATACATAGATATTCCTTTTTTCTCTCTCCCTTTTTTTTTCTCTTTTTTCCTTTTCTTTTCTTTTTTCTTTTCTGTTAATGATATTCAAACATTTCAGCTGTGAAGGAAGTGCAAGATGAACTTGCATTACCAATCTTTGTATCAGGATTAGGAAATGAAAAACCCTCATTGACAGGTATGTTATTCATCAGTGAAAGTCTTTTACAATTATACATGGCATTTATAGATTTGGATGTTTCCCCCATTAAGGTCTAAACAAAAAGCTTGTGAGAGCTACTGTGTTTATTTTTTCCTTCCTTTTTTTCTTTTCTTTTTTATTTGATGTTAACTTCATATATAGTATTAAAGCTTTGCCAAACATTCTGGCTAAGCTAAGATTATATGAACTTCTTGTCATAGAATTCTTACTGTAATACATAGTCAGGAGTCATGACTGAGATGTTGAAGATTATATATTATACAGGTTTGTTGAAGTTTAACTAAGAACTGCATATTGGTAATCAGTTTTCTTAAGAATGTTAGGAAAACTTTTGATTAGTTTTACCTAACATAATCATTAGATATACTTACAATGTAGCCAATGATGTAGGTTTTCAATTTTGTTGAATTATTTTTAATTATTTATATCCAGATTTATATATTAGACCAAGCATTTTCATTTTGAAGTAACATATTTTGTATGGCGAATCTTCTTTTTTTCAGATGTCAAATGTCTGGATTCTCTGTTGAATCAATCAAATCCAACTCCTCCACCTCAGATTGATGATGTTGGTATTAGGGATAAACTCATATATATTTACACATCTGGCACTACTGGTTTACCAAAAGCAGCTGTCATCAAACATTCCAGGTATGTTTAGCGCTAGAGGATATAATACAGGAAGATATATAAATACTTTATCAATTTGCTTCATGCTTGTATCCACATTGTAAACTTTTAAAAGATATTTACTTATGTGTTTCATATTCTGCAATCTATAGGTACCTTTTCTTCTGTGCTGCAGTCCATTACATGGTTGGCTTAAGTGAAGATGAGGTTATATATAACCCACTACCATTATACCATACTGCTGGAGGTATGGTTGGCATGGGGCAGGTTAGTGTTGAGAAATATTTTGTGTATCAAGAGTGTCATTGTTATATACATTCCTGTTATATGTGCATATCGGATTTTTAATTGAATATAAAATTAGTTATCTGTATGGAGTACTAAACTACAATTTCAAGAATAGTTTCTAATGTATATTTTCCACAGGTCCTGCTGTTCAATAACACTGCAGTTATTCGGCGCAAGTTTTCTAAATCACAATATTGGATTGAAGCCAAGAAGCATGGTTGCACAGTAAGTTTTCCATTATAGTTGCCTAGTTTTTACAATTGATAGTTTTTGGGTCATATTTCTCAACATGTTCATGTACATCATATAAATGTTTTTGCTTTGAAAGAAGTGCATATATTGTATGATGGCATCAGCTTTATTATATTGAATGTGCCCCTTTTTCAAAAAAAAACAAAAAAACTGGCAATTAGGTGTCACATATTTTGTTATTACTTCCCTACTTCCCCTATCACTCTGAAAGTAACATATTGCCTGTTAAGAAGTCTAAATATTGACTGGAATAACATTACCAAAGAGAAATCACAAGGGGAGGTCAACTGAAGTCTTTTGAAGGAAACCTTGTTTTTACCAATTGAATTCATTACAGAGACATTTACACAACTAAACTGAACCATAGATATATACATATTTTTGACAAAATTATTATTGTGACTGTAATTTCCTTTCCAGGTGGGTCAGTATGTAGGAGAACTGTGCCGCTATCTTCTTACCAACACTCCTCATCCAGAAGAGAAAGAACATAAGGTATGTCCTTTCTTTGTTATTCTTTGCCTTGCTATGCTCATTGGATGTTACTAAGAAAGGCAAAAACAAAAATTATTCTACCATTGTAAGACCATATAATTGTGGATTTGTTTTAGTGATTTAATTCATGAATGTCTTTACAGACACTTAGTTACCAAGAGAGTCGGTTACAAGGCTTAGCTAATCTCACCTGTTTACTCCATTCCCTGAATAGTAACTAATAAACTTTTTATTTCAATTACTGTTATTTTTGTTATCAACTTTATTATTATTTTGAATAGATGTAATGTTTGTATTATCATTAATGTATTATTGTTGTAAAGTCATTAGCAATAATAAGGGTAGATTAATAAGAACTAGAACTTTTCTTTCCGAAAATTCAAGTATGGGGATAAATAGATGAGATCAGTAGCCCTGATACTTGTATTTGATTTTTTTGTGATAAGTGCTTTAAGTACCTTATTCATGTAAACAAAATTGACAACACAAAACCACAGTGGATAGTGTTTATATACATGCACTTCTAGCATCAACTTTGTTCATGTTTATTATTTTTTACCTTGCTTTCAGACCATTCATTGATTCTTTCTGGCACTCATCTCCAACTTTTGACTACTTTTACCCTTCTTGATTGTTAGATTAGATGAGGAAGAATCTGCAAACTTTCATAAATCAGAATGAAAACATCATATTTGTTCTATGCTAGAAATTGTTTTGCCTGATTTTTTTATTATTTGAAAGTAATTTGTGTAATACAAAGTAAGGATTTTTGTGCTGAACTATGCAAAACAATTTCAGAAGTCAGCTACAACACATAAGAGGATAGTGGCATCATCACTAGGTTTCATCTTTCTGTGGCTGATCGATTCATGTCATTATCTTCAGCTGCCATCATTTGCATTACATTTGTTATCCTGGCCTAGTGTGTTTGCTAAGATTATAGCTATGGCAAACTCATTAATTTCAAATGCCAATTTTTGTAGCACCATTCATTATTTATTGTAGTAGTTTTATTGTATTAAACCCCAATTCACAAAATCCAAATTCACACCTATGAATATTGCAGGTAAGGGTAATCTTTGGCAATGGTGTAAGAGAAAACATTTGGGAAGAATTCACAACAAGGTTCAACATACCTTTCATTGCTGAGTTTTATGGAGCAACAGAAGGAATTGCAAATTTAAGTAAGTTAAGCAGTTTACAAGTTCTGATTCACAACTATTCAGTATTCCTTCATTTTATTGTGATATGAAGAAAAAAATCATCTTTGAGAGGTCTTTCTCAATTTTGCTATCTTCATCATTACCCAAGTGAAATGAAAAAATTAACTCACGCTTTCAGTTAACATGGAAGGTAAACACGGTGCCTGTGGCTTCCTGTCAGTCTTGTTCCCTAGTGCCATACCTGTGTACCTTGTCAAGATTGATGAAGAGACTGGTGAGCCTGCAAGGGATAAAAATGGACTTTGTGTCGTATGCAAACCAGGTAGAGTATCTTCTTCTCCTGCTCCTCCTTTTTCCCCCCACTTTTTTATTCTTTCTTTCTTTCTTTTTCCTTTCTTCTCCCTTTTTATATCCTGCAATATACTTTGCAACTACCCATAGATCTAGTTTTCATATCAGATGCATGATAAAGCTGAGAGATATATTAACTTCAAAGTAAGTAATTTAATGGTTACAGGTGAACAAGGAGAACTTGTAGGTATCATCAAGAAGGAACATCCATTCCGTGAGTTTCATGGTTATGCAGATGAAGCAGCAACAAAGAAGAAGATACTAAGGAATGTGCTGAAGCCAGGAGACACAGCCTTTAAATCAGGTATCATAAGAGTATTGAAGTTTGTGAATGAAATTTGTTTTAGATCATACATATAATTTTGCTGCTGTCATCTAAGAGGAGGATAGAGGTCATAGACACTTCTCCATTTTTATTATTATTATTATTATTTTATTATGTAAATATTTATGATGTAACTATAATCCTCGTTGTGAATGTTTAGGAAATGGCTTTTGCCTTGTTTCTCACACTTCATCTGATATTTTTTATATTTATTTTTGCGCAAGTTATATATAAAAAAAAAAAAAATCTCCAAATTTCTTCACTAATGTTTCTTATTTGATTGCTTTTGATACAAGATAGATAGACAGACTTTTTAGATTTCCCATTCAGCACAGTGTGATTCATAATGCCAAAACAGAAATTAAAATAGTATATAGTTCTAAGAGAAAAATAGTTAAGATATCAAATCTGTTTAAGCTTGCATGGGGTAATCTTAAGGAAAACATTTCTTAGAAACAAAGGAAAAAAAAGAATATCAAAAGAAAGATAAAAATGAAAAAGCCACTTCTGTAAACCTTTTACAATTACCAGTCTTGGACTAGTTGATCCCCCACAGAAAATCTTTTAGAAAAAATAAAATACAATAAAAGCAAAATCATATTGATAGTTAAAGCATAGTTTGTAGTGTGGATTTCATTATCTAATCTCATTTTTACCAACAGGTGACATCCTTGTTCAGGACCAATTTGGCTATCTCTACTTCATGGACCGAACAGGGGACACTTTCCGCTGGCGTGGAGAAAATGTCTCCACAACAGAAGTTGAAGGAGTAGTATTGAAGGCCACAGACCACAAAGATTCTGTTGTGTATGGTGTTGAGGTTGGTTACAAGATTTACATTTATCAGTTAGTCTAATGAACATATAATCTTTATACAGAGGAGATAGAAGTACACACAAGCCTGAACACATCAGGAAATAAGGAGACACTCAGATAGACAAACACACCATATATGAACATGAATATATTTTTGTACATGAAAATTTAGTATTAGTGTCACAGATGTTTCACCTTGCAATTTAGCTGTGAAGTAATTTTCTGGTTTAGCAAATCTTACTTTCAAGCACAGTGGAAATTCAAATAGTATTTATATAACATTGTCCAGTAATATGATTGTTTTTATTGCTCCACATTTTACAGTGTATATTTTTTTCCTGTTTTTTTTCTTAGGTCCCAGGAGCAGAGGGGAGAGCTGGAATGGCAGCTATTGTTGATCCAGAAAGAGAGGTCGACTTGGAAGATTTCTTAAAGAAAATAAAGAAATCTGTGCCACCATATGCTCGGCCTTTGTTCCTCAGGCTCCTTGATCATATTTCTGTAACAGGTGAGTTTCCCTCTGCTGTGCAAACATGAAGCACTTACAAACACTTCTGAAGAACCACTAAAAGCTAAAAATATATAAGTTCACAGTTGTAAATTTTTGCTATTGTGTCTCACTTTCAATAACATCCAAGTCTTCTTCTAATGTGCCTTTAAACACAGCAGTTAAGAAATGGGATCATATCAAATACTTGGGAACAATATTCAGTTGTTGCTAATATGTAACCATAAAAAAATATAACAGATGGTGCATTCATATGAATATTTGTATTCCTTTTATATAATTGAAAGAAAATTTTCTCATTTCTTTTTTTCATCTCTTCTTCTCTGTCTTTCTTTCTTTCTTCATTAAAAAAAAAAAAAAAATTGAAGTCCCTAACACAAATAGATTAAACATTTACTGTCATTGAGAAGGGATGTTCCATAGCAAATATTGCTATAATTTTGACCAGCTTAAGAAAAGTAATTATGTGATAGCTAATATTTTATGCTGACAACAACATAGACTCTGCAATCAATCTTGTTAAGTATTTTGTGGCTTGGAGACCCTGAAAAAAAGGTTGAGAATAAGGGAATTAGGTAATCACAAGCCACACAATAAATATAACGGAGTTAAAAGATCTTGCAGAATTTTGAAATGTTCTTTGCCTGTGTGTTTTTTCTTTTCTTTTCTTTTCTTTTTTTTTTCTTTTTTTTCTTTCTTTCTTTTTTCTTTCTTTTCTTTTCTTTTCTTTTCTTCTTTCTTCTTCTTCTTCTTCTTCTTCTTCTTCTTCTTCTTCTTTAAAGTATAAGTATTAGTTAATTCAATGTCATTTGTTAGGTTAATTACATAAAAGAAGCATTACTTTTATAATTTTCTAAAACATATTTTTTTCTTTGTTTATTATCAGGGACATTTAAGCTGAAGAAATTGGAGTTACAGAAGGAAGGATATAACCCCAACCTAATCAAGGATTCCCTCTATTTCCTAGACAGTAAGCAGGGTAAATATGTGCCTCTTGACAAAGACCTTTTTGAAAAGATAGAGAATTGTCAAGTTGGTCTTTAAGCCCATATGAATTGGGACTCAGGAAGCGCCAGCAATCCCAGAGCCATATTTTTTAATAAGCCTTAGTAAGATCCAGGAATCCTAAGACCTTTTTTGTTTGAATTTAGTATATGAAGGTACACTGTTCCTTGTTGCATTTCTGTTCCTTCACCATGAAATATGCAAGTTAGGCTTCAGAGAAAATGAACTGAGGCCTCATTACTCTTTAAGATTATCTTATTATACAATCTGGCTGTTGATAGTAAGAATATAAAGATATTTAAGTTAGGACATTTTTAATGTTTATGGTATATATGAATAGCTATATTTCTTTTGTGTCAGAAGTAGTCTCACAAATTGAAGGCAGTGCTGCTGAAGTTAGTCTATAAACTAAATATTACTATTACAACAGATATTTTCTAACTAATACATCCCAAAGAATCATGCCAAAATGTTGTGAAAAGGATGTGCCATAGTTTTAGCCTCTATTATACCATACCCAGTTTGACAAGACCAAGGATTTCATATATTTTTAAATATAGCTGTATTGAAATAATATATTTAACTTTAATGAGTGTGTAAGTTTGTTTATACTCAAATCTTAGGAAGGGAACAAGTCAGATTCTAGCTTTATGTAAATTGTCCTCTATTTTAAAAAGTATGAAGAATATATATGAAATCTTTTATTTACATATCAGAAATACTGCTGCATTTATGTTTTCAGCAAGTCATTTGACTGTAGGATTTTATTATAAAAATGCTATAATACTAGTGTATAAACTTTTACTGAGACTCTGCAGAAAAAGAAAGTTATCAGTTTTGTTCATAGCCTCACAGTAGGTGATATAATATTTGCTTGTAAAGAAAATATTCTGTTCAAATATTATGCATTCAGATTCTTCTGATAAAGACTTTATATGTCAACACTGTATAGATTTGACTGCTTTATTTATATATTTGATAGAACTGTTTTCACCATACTGTAGAATACAACTGACGTAAAATGTGTATACCTCCCACGTGTCCACTGTTGATGATGCCTCAGTAACTGCTCAATAACCACAACCTGGGGTACTCATAGTTCAGGTCAATTCATGTGTTTGGTCAGGTAGAACACTTGTAAACCAAAGGAATTGTGAGGTGAATTGATGGTATATTTTGAATTAACTGAAATATCATAATGAATTCCATGGAGTTCAGACAAGCAAGACGTTATTTCAAATGATAGAATGTAATGTATGTTCAGATGCCTTAAACTGAAAGTAAATGCAATAATATGCTTCCACTGAAAGTCACTTACATTTTAAGGAAAAATATTGTTAACTTTATATATAATTGTGCTTGCACTTGCATGTATACATGTGTTTATCATGCACTTTTGCTTTTGTGTATGTGTGCATAAAATATTCAAATAAAAATAAGTGATTTTAGCTTGAATAGGTGCTAGTAGTACATGAGTCTTTGCAATAGATGTCCAGAAAAGTTATTATGTGTTACCATTATATCCCAAAGTAATTTTCTAGGTTTGTTTCTTGTCATTTTGAGTACAAAAGAAGGTGCCTTTTTCATTCCTATGTTATAGAATTTAACCAAAGAAGTTACTGATGAGTAACAGGTTTCTGGTCATTTTGGATCCAAAGTGGTTGTGTTACTTTTGCAGAACAAGAAGCTGCCTCTTTATTTTATAAAGTTGCATACAATTGACTAAAGACATTTTTATGATATTTAAAGTTAAAAATTTGTGATTTGCCTTAACTTTAACTTTGTTTTATGTTGTAGGTAATTCTGAATTCTGTGACTATATTGCATTTTATGCCAGTTATTAGTTAAGATTTTTGATAATGCTTACTATAATTCTGAAAAAATACTTTTACGTCTAAAGATCTAATGTATTTGATTATTTGTTTAGATGTGCATCCCCCCCCCCTTTTTCTTATGTGTCTGTCTGTCTGTCTGTGCCTGTTCCTGTGTGTGTCATTGATCACACATAATAAATTGTTAGAAATTATTATGTATGCTTCGGACATACTGTGAGTTTTGTAGTGTGATATTTTTTCTTTTTATTCATTTTTTTAAGAACATTATTAAATGCATTTTTATTGAAGGAATTTGCAATATAATGAAATGTAATGTAAACCATCTTTTGAGTTTGATCATGAAAAGTTTATATATATACAATCTTGTTGTATAAACAAGTTAATTAAATTTAGATTCTAAAAGTATTGAATTGTATTCTTTATTTTTTCTATGATAATAATAACTTGTGTATTTACTCTTTAAATATTAACATTTCCAAATTATAAATATGTAAAAGAAAATGTGAATCATGTTTATTAATATGCCTAACACCTTTTTTGTAATATGTATGTTAAGAAATATTTTTTTCTTTTTCACAGACAAGAAATAAATATTCTAAAATCTGCAAGTATCACAGATTGTATTCATATGAAAGTTTATGGCATAGTTTTTGCCAATCTATGTGTCAGTTGTGCAATGGAATCAGTGTATTTTTATGTTTGCTTTTATTATTCTTTTTTTGCCATTTTATTTCCATTTATGCAATTCAAGAGTCATTATTCTTAATTTTAGTGTATTTGCTGCTTATTTTTTGCCTAAATGTTTATTTTGTTAAGATATGACTGTAGTGCTTCATTTTGTTTACAGCATACCAGCTATCTTTTTTTTCCTGTATTTATCATTTTACTCATATTTCTGTCAGCAATCATTTCAACACATATCCCATATTGGTTGTACAATTGATATTGTGAACAGCAATAGTAACATAGACAGAAGATGCTTTTTGATGTCTTTAGCTATCTATATTTTAGAATTTTTATGTCTTCCAGTTTTGTGATTGGTTTAAGAAAATAAATATTCAGAGCTTTCTCCCCATTTCATTTTACTCCAATTTCTTTCACTGGAAATTTAGTAATAATATAAAAAAAATTATGTCCATTCATTTGGATATTCAAATTCAAATCTGTGCAAGCACCACAGGTTAACAATAAATTTATGAACATAAGAACTTAACTATTTCTTTATGGAATAAATGTCATTATTTTAGGTTTTCTAAACCACATGTAGTTTGTGAAAAAAATATTTACTAAAAACAGGAAAGCCTTGTAGCTGGTGATATTTGTTATTTCCATTACTACTAAATATAAAGGTATATTATACAGTTAAAATGAGAAGTTTTACATCTTTACTTTATCACCAACAGCAAGATACTGCTGCATTTTTTACATTTACCTTGAAGATACATCCGAAAACTCTTGCATGTCTGATACATGTAGAGACACAAAAGAGGTAGCAGTATTATCCCCCTCTCCCTCAACTGCATGCTAGCACATGGTAAGAATCTAGAGTCTTGACAGACCAACTGTTATCTTTGGTAGGAGGTGCTTCCAATCAGCCAACATTTAACATAGTGTTAATTTGAATGAAAGATTAGATTTATGTTAACCAATATTTTACTAAACATTTATTGATACCTTCAAAAATTGTAATTATAATGCTTTCTTTCTGTGATTAGCATTTAAAAACTAATTTTATTTATTTTATGCTTTGTCTAATATAAATTTAAATTAGCAAATAACTATATGGATTCAACAGCCAATGCAAGAAAGGAGTGTCCATGTAGACCATATGATGCCACGTGCTACTTTATTTAATTGTCCAGCTGACCTTAATAATAACCTTTCATCTATTTTATTTTGCAGAAAATTACCTTCATTTTGACTATTCATTCTTTACTGTAATTGGCAATTTTACATACCTTCATTCCTTACCATACTATATCAATTAACCTTTTTCAAGTTATTTGCCTATTTAGTTTCGTCAACATGTTTTTACTTCTTAATTATCGCTACTTGACGCGAAAGAAATCCAGAAAGATGAAGAAGTATCCCCTATAAGTTTTTTGTTTCCTATGAACACAATGAAGCTTTCGTTTTCTTTGAATACCCTCCTATAACGGGAACACTATTTTATATACTCACATATGAGTCCTTTGAATTATGAACGCCAAATACATGAATGATATGGAAGAAACTTGATTTCATGATTATTTCTATAGGTAGTGAGGTGATTCTGATAAATAAAAACCTGAAAAATCGTACGATCTTTAACTCATAGGGGTTACTAATATCCATTTGTCTCATAGGGGTTACTAATATATCTTTGTGAGTAGGATTGCGTCAAAAATACAGAAAGTATTGTGACGAAACACAACAGGTGGCATATCTGTGGGGCAAGAATAAGTCTATTAGATTTATTGCCCTTCCCTTGGTGCACCGATCCCTTTATTCCCGGCGGTGGACGGGGTGATTTACGTGAGCGGGGTGCAATGACATTTTGAGGTTGTAAAGAAAAATCTAAAGTTAAAATGTGATTCGGTTTTAATCTAGTGAGGACGTCCAAGTATGTACAATTCAATTCAATTCACAGCTCGAAGGAAGTAGCAGAGGACTTCAGAGAATAAAACCTAGCTATTTATAATGTCATAATGAAATAAGAACTCACTATCTTGCAAACAAGGAAAAATCCACATTCCCCATTTAAACAGCTATGCTCCCCTTCTAAATGCCCTGGAAACACAGGCAAGGGTTTATTTCGAAAGTTTCTTTGCGTTTTAGAAATAGGCCAGCGCGAAAGGCTCCAGCTCGGATTGCCGGATTCCCGGATTGGCGGATTCCTGGATTCCCGGATTCCCTTGCACGAACGGAGGGACCAAAACACCATTGGGCCAGAGCCTTGGCGGAGCAGAGGTGGGCCATATGTCATCAGGACTTTCACCTGAGTTAGCAATGTCTTCAGAGTACATGGTCTGGCAAAGATGTGGTGCAGGAAGTGGAGAGGGAGTTTTATATGTAGTATTTCTGCTGTTTATTTGGAATTGTTGCTCTGTTAAGCAGAGAAAGTAAGTGTTCTTAGGTAAAGAAAGGCCGTAGAAACAAAAACCCTTCCTATCATATTCCATAGTAAAGTGGGTAATTTTGCAGTTTCACACAGCTTAATGGTGCTTAGAAATATTTGTCAGTATTAGAACGAATAACTGATAATAAGAGTTGTAGAGTTGCATAACACGTGAGATAAACCGTAACTTGATAGGCGAGGTGCTACATATTTGGAAGCCTTTGCACATCTGCTACAGTCCCTGAGCCATTTAGTGTAATTTGTCATCAAAGAAGGAGACAGCCCAAGCTCAGCCTTGCCAGAACAAATGTGATGGAAGTATCGTAGCATTTGCAGGGCATCTGCAGAGCACAAAGTATGGGGGTTGCTGTGGATGGCTGACATTGTACCTCTATTTGGTTGGCCTCCAGACAGATTTTCAGAAAGGTTTTTAATGCACCACTTTCTTTATTTAGCACAAAATTTTCCACATCATATATTTTTCCAATAAAAGTTACTGTACTAGTATCAGATAATTAAGTTTATAGTAATATTTTGAACACGATATATAAAAATCTATATATCCTTATTTTAAAAATTTAAAATTTGATAGTTTTTTTAGTATCTTTTTCTCTTTAACTCATTGCTTATGGATGATGTGGGATTCACATCATGGCTGACTCTGACTAAGTTGTAGTTCTGGGTGACATGTTATTCACATCATGGCCAAGTGCTCATTCACATCATATTACGATGATGTGTGCATTACATTACATGCTGTTATAAGGAACCCTCATGTCCATACCACATACCCTGGAGTATTGCCTGAGGGAGAATGGCATGTGTAATGCTATGATTGGCTATTGTTTTGTATAAAGGGTAAATTTTAACACATAAGTCATTCACCTGCTATGCCTGGAAGATGTCAAACATGGCAGTCTCTTGCTGCTGATGTGAACCTGTAAGTAACCTTCACACTTGTTTATGTGATCATTCTCCTTGTGTCAACGACTTACTTTGTCTTTTGGCGCACTGTCAGTGTGACTCTTATGAAGTATGACACACAAATGGGAAGTACTGAAGCCATGGTGGGAGCAGCCTTGTATATCATGGTGTACAATCTCTTATTTCATAAAAACAAGATTTGCAAATATTAGTGATATTTTTTCCATCATGTGCACAGACTGTAACATACCCTATTTATTGAAATGGCCTCTAATGCACATAGTTAGGCCACTACAAGTGTTTGATCTAGCAACTAAAATACATATCATGCATCTCTGAATATGCAAAAACATTAAAAGCACATAAAACTTTGTTGGTGCAGACAAGTGCTACACACCAGATGCTTCTGAAAAGGGCCCAAGAGGCAAACCCATTTAGCCACATATACTCTCCAGAGTGGAAGCCAAGTGAACCCTATATTCTCCCAGAGGCAATGGGTGAACTAGACTTTCTTTTTGATAGTTATTATTAACTACAAACTATGATTATAAAGAAAACCTGGAATAGAGGATGACTATTTTTAAGAAAAAAAAAAAAAAAAAAATAGACCAGCATCAGTAGCAATGTTGTCATGTAAGAGTGTTGCTTTATCCTTTCTCAAGACTCCCAACCTATTATGTTAAAAACAGAGAAAAGGTAACAGCAGGTAGAGGGAGTTTATTAGCAATAAGTAAAGCACTCCAGATTGTAACATAAATTACCATTTCTTTGTTGGTGTTAGAGTGCATTAATTCAAATATCTTTTCAGGTAACCATAGGACAAGATCTGCTGAATGCGATCCAGAATGGCAGGCATAACCAAGAAATTCATTGGTAAGAAACAATAATATCTTTAGATTAAACATAATGTTTTAAGGAATAGATGTTATCTTTTATTTTATAGAGTACTTATGTAAATTACTTTTTTCACTTAAATGGTTTAAATTAAAAATATGAATTAATTTCTATGGTAAGATACTTAAATGATTAATTATTACAATACTTACCATTGTTGTCTATTCTTTGATGGTTTATCATATTTTTTTATTGAATTCAAGGAACTTGTATTATTATGTTTTCTATGATATGATAAAATGTAAAATGAGCATTGATGATAATCAGTGTCATTTATGTTTAATTGATAAGAAGGCATTGCCCACATTCATTATTATCATTGGAACAGAGTATGAATGTTAAGATTACTTTTTATTAGAGCACATGCAGAATATTGTCATAATTATTTGTAAGTTCTCTTATCATATTTGCGCTAAGTTATGAGTTGTGTTTTATGTATTGTCATAAAATTATGGAAGATCATTCAACAAAACTTGTTCTTTTGCCAGTGAATATTATGGGGTACAAGCAGTAGGATTGACATTGCTTTATAGTGCTGCAGCAGAGGGCCAAAAAGGAGGAGGGTACCGGCAGCCGAATAACATTTGTCTGCATGTCTAAAATCCATTTTTTCAAGGCCAAGCTTTACACTGAAAGTGGTCCCGAGTCATTCTGACTGTGTGATTATGTCACATGCAATGCTGAGACAAGGAAGTATTGGATCATCCCCTGATACATCAGCTGCTTCATCAAAAAGCCTCTTGTTAGTAAGCCAACACACAGTCTTGTAGAGGAGTGGATCTGTCCATTTTTTCAGTTCTTCTGCTGAGGTTTCTCCAGGTGAATGGTATTCCCCATCAATGTCTTTCAACGCCTCAATCCTCCTTCGAAGAATACCAACAGCTTGGTGAATGATACAATCCTCGGTTGAATCCTCCAATGTGTCTCCCACGGTATCTGACTCTTCTTCCTTCAATAGCATCGCTAGTTCTTGGACCTTCTTTAGAGCATCGCCAACAGAAACTTTGTTTGAGCAAACAAAATCAGACATCCCTGGCTGATGAATGAATGATATGTCTTGCCATTCATTACTCAGTTGCTTCTTAAGTCTTTCTGAACGGTATTCGTTGGTTCTGTCAACTCCTTCTTTAAGCAGTTCTAGGAAGCGATTCTTCAGACTGCTCAACAAAAACACCTGGTTGTCCTTAACGATTGGCGTCTGGAATTCAGATATCAGTCGAGCAACAGCCACTTTGACTGCCTGGGTTGTATTTCCTACTGGCTGCTTCACAACTAACTTCTGTAGTTTGATGTACTTAAGGTAACAGTTTTTCGACCTATGGTACCTAGCTTCCACGGCAACAAGATCACCATTTGGCACACCATGGAGTCTGGTCAACATCTCGGTATCCTTGCGCTGTTCAGCTGCTTCCAGTACCATGATGTACATGTCAGTCTTATCCAACTTCTTCCCAATGGAAGACCACCATTGACCAAGAAGCACGCTTCTTGGGATGACATTCTGTTCCACATAGAAAGCAGTTTTTCTTCCAATTAAAAGCGTTCGAGGACCTTGTCGTGTGGTTATATTCACAGCTTTGGGTTTCAGCTGTTTTCCCCTGTTTGTCCGCGTTCCTTTTTAGATGCAATTTACTGGTGTACGTCGACCGGCAGTTCCTGTGATAACGTATGGTTACATCTCCATCAAGAATGGAAGACTGTTTCGCAAGAAGTCTTAGTCCAACTTCATCCTTACGTTCTGAACATGCAGCAAATAGGCTTTGGATTTTTGTCAGGTCTGGTGTTGTTGCAGGGTTCCTTGCTGAGAACAGTACTCCACAGAGTACACACTTATTTGCTGGCAATTCAGGTTCTTCTACTCGACGTTTTTTTGAGCTGGTTACAGCAAATTCGGCAGCCATATCGTTATTGTTGTCTGAAAGATAAGAAGACAAAAGAGTGTGACTATATTTTGCAGTGATAATGAAAAGGACGGTCATACTTGTAATGTAACTTTGATAGTAATATTTTACTGAAAGTGGCTTACCTGTATACGTCCTGAAAATGGCTTACCTGTATACGTCCAAGTCCGTGTGAATGCCATACTGCCACTGCAGTCAAGTCAACCATAACTTTACTCATCTAAATGGAGAAATATCAGTTAGAATTAGTGGAAAGCATTCTCAGAAAGGTAAATACATTGCTTATGTATTCTTAAATCTAACATCAGGATTTGTATAGAAATTGCTGGTGGAATTACTGCTGGAGATACACCAAATGGGTTTTCCCGGATACATGTAGTTTCAACTACCCGTCAGAATGACTCGGGACCACTCTCATTGTAAAGCTTGGCCTTGAAAACATATAGTTTGACACCAAGAAAAACGTTCTACATGGTATGGTTACCGAGGTACGAGATATTGACATTTTTCTTTAAATCACGGTTTTCGTCACTTCTGGTGGAACCAATTCATTCCACCATGAAAAAATTATAGTTTCTTTACAAAACCTATGGTTAGACACCAAGAAATTCATCCTGCGCTGCACATTTCCGGAGATATTGGATCCAGGAGGTTGATGGCGGCCATCTTGGAAAATGGCGCCGTATGCAAATTGCACGCACATCCGGCGATGTCATCACGCAGTTTCTTGATACCCACATACCAATGATTGATTTTAGACATGCAGACAAATGTTGTTATTCGGCTGCCACCTACTCGAAAACTAGAGCCTTTTTTGGCCCTCCGCTGCAGCACTATTATGTGATTTCAATGGAGAGGCAAAATCTTATGTACATTTAGTATAGGCCTTTTTTCAGGTTCTTTTTCAGATTTAGTAAATGCATGCCTGTTACCCACAACAATTCAAATTCTACAATAAGAAGGTATCAGCAGTTTTCAGCATATGGAATGTGAATAAGTGATGGAGAACATTGCTCCATTTTAATTCTAGGAACAGTAAAACTAATCCAAGCATATCCCGGCAGGTAAGGACAGAAGAGGAAAATAAATGCACTTAGATGGATAAATCTAGAGATGTTCAAGATTTTCATTTATCTCACCAAGATATATTCCAAGACTCTAGCATGGATCAACTATCTCTGACAGAGTATTCAGAAGGATCTTCAAGGACACACAATGCACTAGCAACACATCAAGCCCACCAGCCTCTTCAAAAGAATAATTTTGTGCCATTTACCCATGAGACGCATAGTTTTATACAGCCATTAACACTGCCACAGTCGCCTGGATTTGTGCAAGCCAATATTAATCCTTCACAACCTTCACTGTGTAGTAATGATACTGATCAAGCAGTTCTTGATACAAACAGCAGAACTCAGGTCTGTAACAGCAATGTATTACATGGTACCAGCCCTATATCAAATCCTACAATTGATTTGCAAAATGGCTTGACAGTAAATGAAGTGGACAGTATTTCAAAACAAGAGCATTCTGGACAAGAACAGTGGAAGAAAAATATTAGAAAGAAAATGAAAAATCTAGGGAAGAGTTATACAACACAGAATGGGAAGAAAGTAGGTGCTAAAGTTTTCAAGTCAATCAACCAATGTTGCTATCAACAGTGCTTCAAGAACTTAAGTTTAATGGATCAGGAAAATATATTTACCTCATTTTGGAATATGGGTAACTGGAACAAACAAACAAAGTTCATCTGGGAACATACAGAGATTAAAACTAAAGCCAGGAAAACATTAGATAGGTCATCAAGACGAGTCCATACTAGACATTTTTTCCTGCCAGATTGTTCAGGAAGTAAGGTTAAAGTTTGTAAATCAGTCTTTCTTTCTTTACTTCAGATCTCTAATGGTCGTTTAAGTTACTCTCTCAGCAAGAAACTTGTTGCTGTAAATGATGAAGAGCCTCAAGATAGGAGAGGGTCACAGATTCCCTCAAATAAGACTCCTGCACAAGCTGTAAGAGATGCAGAAGAATATATACAATCAACTTCATATTATAGCATAAAAAAAGATTCTGGTGCTAAAATGCTTATTGTTCCACAGGGAGTAACAATTAGAAAGTTATATGCCACATATCAAAGAAAGTTTGTTGAATCTGGTAAATTAGTTATCAGTCTAAAATTGTTCAGGAAGCTCTTGCCACCTATCTTGAAAAAAGATGCCTTAAATATGCCCTTTATATTTAGCAAGCAAATAGGTGAATTATCTTGCATAGGTTATAACAAGTGTCCAGCTAACAAGACAGTGATAATGAATGTAGAAAAGTTTTCAAGGAATGAGACTGATACAAAACAAAGTGTAACATTTATTCAGGGTACAAAAGATGTAGAATTAAATACACATTCCATAACGCATAATGAAAATTATTTATCGTCAACAAATAATTCTGCAAGAAAATCTAATTTGAAACTGTGGAAACGCAATATTTCAAAGGACCTTAGAGACAGAGGGAAAAGCTACATGTCCTCATCTGGAAAGATAAACTTGGGAAAAGAGTTTTTACCACAGCATTCTTGTTGTATAAGTAATTGTCATGTGGCTTTCCCAGTTGAGCAGCAAGAAACTCTTTTCAAGAAGTATTGGGCCTTGGCCTCTTGGAATTTACAGACTAAATTCCTATGGGACCACATACAAGTTGTTCAGAAAAAGGTAAACACATCCAAAAGTGATGATTCACGTCGTATTCACACCAGGATATTTTTTCTTCCAAATAATGATGGCGAAAAAAGAAAAGTATGCAAGATTCTTTTCTGCGCAACACTCCAGGTATCAAATGGCAGAGTTTCTCGTGCAGTTTGCTCAAAAATAGTTGATTCTTCTCTGCCTCCTCAAGATAAAAGGGGTAAAAGTACCCCACAGAACAAGACAACCAGAGAAAATGCTTTATTTGCTTTGGATCACATTCACCAGTTGTTGCAGCATAACAGTTGTCTTCAGTCTACCTCCAGAAAGTGTAGTCTGTTAAATAATATAAGTAAAAAGAAAGCCCATGATATGTACAGGAATTCTTGTTTCGAATATGGAAAGAAACCTCTTTCTTACACTGTGTATTGTCGTATATTACGTGAAGATGCTTACTGTCCTGTTGAAAACATTAATTCAAGAAAGAACGAAAATAGTTGTACTTGATTCTATTTTTTATATTGATTTTATGAAATGTCAATTTGAAGATTTTTTCTTTCTTTCTTTTTTATGTTCTTACTTTATTAGTCCTAACATTTGTCTACATTTATATGACATTTGTAAAATTGTAAGTAAAAACTTTTTAGTAGGAAACCTGAATTTTTATGTTTTGTTCTATATCCTTGTAATTCATTGGAGAACAATTATTTATGGCAGTCAGTCATATTTTAGAAGCAAAACTTAAAAGACAATGGAAAGAGGATAAACCCAAACCCCGTTCCTAATTCCATAACTACATAAAGTTTTCCTGATGCTGACCAGGAAAACTGACATAAAGGGTTAAAGGTTACATATTTCCAAAAAGGACAACTTAGGCCTTAACATTACAGACTGCTTTCATGACTTAGGGAAGCATATCTTTTAAATTATCATGCAAACAAGCAATGAGTTTGGAGAGTTGATCATTAGCTGTAGAATTATAAAAAGGAAAGAAACATGTCTATATATCTTCTGAACCCAGTATAATAGGATAATCAACACTATTTTTTTAGAAATCATTGCACATTTGTGTATATTTCATGGCTTTGAGAAATATGTACCCTTAAAAAGAAAAATCAGCAAACCAGGAAGATATACTTGATAAGCTGCATTTGTTTGAGTTCTTTATCAGACCAGTTTTTATATTTCTCAATATAGTGTATTTTATTTCAAGCTCATTTCCCTCTTTATCCCATGCTCGTTGTTGTCATGGGGGGGGGGCTTAGGAGACAGAGACTGGGGCCCAATGAGGGGGATGACCACTACCTTGGACCTCAACCCTCACCTCAACTAATTTTGCATGGTCTTTTCTTCTCCCTGTTTCCTTTTCCTTCTCTTCTTCATACTCTCCTTCTGTCCACTTCCTAAGGTGTGAGAGCCATACCAAAAGGATGAAAGGCTGTTTTGTGTCAGTCATGAATGGCCTCCGGGATCCATCCGCACAGAATTCCCTTGGTTAATCGTCTAGCCCTCTAGCCCTTACACCGTATAGGGACCCTGAGGGTAGACCATTTCTTCCCATTTATTTCAGGCTCACCATGGCCAATAATGAAGATTTTTTTACCCTTATTGGGGGCATGCCTCTTCATCATCTAGCTTATCGAAGTTTGATTTCATTGGCTTCCTGACCCCAGCCATGGCTCTGACCACTGATACTAATACCCTCCTTGATGTTTGCTGTCAACTCTATCAACTCCGAATCATCCACCCAGATCATTACTCAACCTACACCCTTTCTTCTCTCTCAACATCCTCCACTCCATCTCTTACTGCACAGTCTTATTCATTCTCTACCCCCAGCCCCCATATTACTACTCTTTATCCTTATTGTTCTCCTCCCAACAGTACTACATATCTTCATACCATACCATCATCCTCCATCCCTTATCCTTCTACTGCTTCCACCTCTGCACACCTTTTGAGTACCCTTTTTGGCCTAGCCAAGTGTGATCAATTCTTTGTTATTCCCCCTACAGCCCTGTATTTTGACAATATCCTTCTCTTCCAATAATGTCTCTGAATACAAGTAGGCAAAGTTTCCTTTCATAGTCATTCCCATCATTCATGCTTTGTCACAATTACATCAGAATCCCAAGCTCTTGCACTATCTACTTTGACTAACCTCACTGCAAACCTATTCTTGCCCAACCTCACTCCTCCCTTAATATATGTACCAGAACTGTTTCTGTCTCCCTGACTGGTTGTCCTGTCTACAACAAGGACTGGTCAGACTGTGAAAACGACTTGTTCTCAGATTCAAACTAGGCCTCACTCTATATGAGTCCAGACACGAAGCACACTGATGAGGTTTTTCTCTTTCTTAAATATTCCAAAACTGTACTTTGCTCTGCTCCCCTCCCATCTTCTCAAGAAGTCTCAGCATCTCCCAGAGTATCTATTCCCTTTACCCTGAACCATCCTATCTCTACTCTGTCTCTCCTCCAGTCAAATGCCTTTTCCAGTCTAAATCCAGATACTCCAATCTGTACCACTTCCCCAGTGCCTACTCCTCCTACTTCTCATTCTACCTGTCACACCAGACAATCTAAACATTCTACCTCATCATCTCCTACAACATCTTCTACCACATCCTCTCCCACACCCATCTCTCTCTCTACTCCTTGGACATCTACTCCCTCTTCTTCTCCATGTAAGAAAACATTTGTTTCTCAGACCTCTCCAACCAACTCCCCTCCAGAAACTCTTGAAGACATCCAAAACTTCCTAACCATGACCCAAGAGAATGCTCCACTCCCTCATCCACCCTTCAATCCCTCTACTCCTATTTGCTGATATCCATCCTCCTTCCCCTCAAATTCCCCCTACCCCTATTCCTCCCATTCTCCCAAAAAGTAGCCCATCCTCTCCTCCATATGCATTACCGTTCCCTCTTCCTTCCCCATTATCCTTACCACTCCTACCTGGATGCTGTGACTCCCTTATGTCACAACAATGTCCTCTTCCAGATCCTTCCCCTCTTGACATTCTTTCCAAAATTCATCGCCTTCTCGTGTTCCCTTATCTCATTCTCTGGATTATTCTCCTACTTCTCAACTAACGTTTCTACCCGTATTAACCTTTGATTGTTTCATAATGGATCTTTTGCAGTTTTCCTCTTACAGTGTTACTCTTCCCTTCCTCAGACACATACTCTCCATTTGATCTGATCACCCTATACCGTTAACCCTTTCCTCTTACTATTTCATTTGCTCCCCCTCTATACCCTTTTCACTATTGTTCTATCCTACAGCACTCTACAACCTTTGACATCTAAGATATCTTATCCTGATCCTTAGCTCATTTCCACCCATTTTTCCTCAATACTTTACCATAGTGCTATATGACCTTTAATATCTATTACTTTTATTTCTTCTAACCATTAACCATTTTCTCATTTTCTAAGAATTTTTAACAATATTAAAGTTGAGAATCATAATTTTGTCATAGTAGTAAACTACATTACAGAGCCAGGTATTGCAATCAAGATATGTTTTGTGAATGAATCATCATTTGTTTTAGATGCCATAAAATTTAATTGCAGGGGTGCACTTCACCCAGATCTAGAGATATTCAGTTTGATAAGTAGCCATCATGTATTATTATACATATGTAGTCACAGTAGAAGCCAATAGTTATACATTAAGTATAGATAAATTTTGTTGGGCCTCCTGTTTTCTAACCTTTTTTCAAATTATTATTCAAACTTCTGAATATTACAGAAGCATTTCTTTTGTTTATCAGTCCGTGTTCTCAATAATTCTTTAATAATTTACACCAGTGGGACTCCACCTTTGCAATATTTTCTAGTTTTAACTATATGAAGCCTCAGTTTGCTCATTTTTTGAAACCTAATGTATGATTTATTACCTTGATCTGATCTTTCAGGTGGTTTAGGGCCCTCATAACCACTCTTACTTCACACAATAATTGGAATTTAGGGAAATAGATGTCAAATAGAACAGCAAAGGGAAGTACAGGAAAACACACGAATATGCCAAAGAAATATACATAGGTAGATAGATTTAGATATGGATATAGATAAAGATATAGATGTGTATACTTATACATATACATATGCATAAACATAAATTGAATATCAATTGAACCAAAACAAAACTATTGTACTTGTTCAGGAATGTAAGATGAGCATAGGTACCTAATTGGTAACCCAAATCCTACTTCCCACTCTAATTTCAACCAGAGCTGCTTCCAGTTATATGAGTAAGATATGCTATGTATGGGGTAAAAGCTAACATTCTTTACTTACATGCTCACAGCATATTGACATTATAAGAATCCATTTCGTAAATGAAGGGTAACTGCATTTTCTTTGATGGACCTGAAAAAGTTTGCTCTATGTTCTAGTAATAATTTATGTTACAGATATCGGTGCTAACCTGACAGATGAAATGTACCAAGGTGTTTACCATGGTAGCAAAAAGCATGAGCCTGACTTGGAGCTTGTGCTTAAGAGAGCATGGGAGGGTGGATTAACTAAGATGATTATTACTGGCACAAGTCTCTCTGACTCCAAGACTGCACTGGAACTTGCCAAGACAAACAGTAAGTACACTGAAGGCCACACATATTAATGGGATACAAAAGATTTTTTTAAAAATGGGAATTATATCTGATTGTAAGCCATTTGAGTCAAATTTTATCATGACAATAAATAACAACCAAAATCTATAGGTATCTGAGAGAATTCCCAAATATCAACTAATTAAAGACCTTTGGTAAAACTGTCTGTAGATAGGCATCCAACAGTTCAATGTAACATTCTCTTGATGCCAGAAATTATGGAACACACCTTTTGTAGTTTAACATAAATATATAGAATTGTGTTCCAGTTGCTTTATTTTTTGTTTGTGTAATATTCAATATCTATTTCCTTATATCAACAGATAATCTATACAGTACGGTTGGCTGTCACCCAACTCGCTGTGGAGAATTTGAAAAGGATGACACAACACCGGAAACGTATTTGGAAAACTTACTGCAATTAGCGCTAGATAACAGAGACAAGGTTGTGGCCATTGGGGAGTGTGGGTTAGATTATGACCGCACTCAGTTTTGCGCTCCAGATATTCAGAGAAAGTAAGTTTATTACTGATTTATATTTTTGTGAAGAATGTGCATTTTATGTCTCATTTTAACCTATTGGTCTCATTTGACATCATATGCATGCCATGACTGTAGTATTTTAGTTTATTAATTGTGTTTACACATAGATGGCTGCACAGATACTTAGTCATCAATGAATCAACTATTAGTCCACCCAATCTTACCTATTTACACTTTTCCTTTATTTTCATAAAGATTCTCTTTTATTTTTTATTGTTATTAGTATTTCTATAGCAGCATCATAATAATAATTATTTCAGTAATAATAAATAAGTAAATAATAGTAGTATCAGCATTAATAGCACTAGAAAAAAGACATCCTGAAAAGTCAAGGAATGGCATAATCAGATGAGGTCACTAGCTCTAATAATTGACTACTTGGAAGCTGAGCCTGTGTGAAGCTATTTGTGTAAAACAAATTTCACACACAAAAAAGAGTGAACAGTTTGAAAACTGCAACCAAGGGGGTTAAAGTAATATTTTATAGCATATACCTGAGGATTGTCAGATGTATTTGCCAGTAATTTGAGGGAATTCCATTTTCTGATCATCGTTTATATTATGTATAAGCAAGAGGCTATGTGTTTTTTATTACTTGTGAAATGAAATTAAGACAAAATTTGCCTCTTAACAGCCTTCTTGCAATACTTTTAATTAATTTTGCTATGATATTGGATGTCCATGTGTGGAAGGGTGCCTTTAAGACAATTTTTCTTGCAATTGTGTCATTGATAGCCTTTCAGAGTACCCCAGAAGGACAAATTTGTTTACAATGTACCATTGTTCACTTCACATATCATGTCCATCTTGTCACACACTTTAGTCTATATACATATTTGTAAACAAAAGAATTGTGTTCCAGTTCCAGACAAAATGTTAATAGGATATCACAGTATTGATTAACAAATGCCAAAGACAGTTTTAGCCAATAAGTCCTTATTGTCTGCTAAAAACAAGCAAGAAGATAAACCCTGACTTGGGCCTAGTTCCATTATTATAATCTTGAAAATAATTTGGGAAGCTTTGTATGCTTAGAGTTGCCATGTTTTCATAAATTCTGTTTTAATG